TTCTCTGTAGTTTTGGAGCCTGTCCTGGAACTTGTAGACCAGGCTGGTCTCGAACTCACAGAGATCCGCCTGCCTCTGCCTCCAGAGTGCTGGAATTAAAGGCGTGTGCCACCTCCACCCAGCAGCACACTCTTAAATAGCCTCATTAAAACAATAAAGGAACATCTCTGTGAGTCTGAGGCCAGCCTGGTCTACAAGAGCTAGTTACAGGACAGGCTCCAAAACTACAGAGAAACCATGCATGTGGTGGGGGAGATAATGTCAGGCAGTGGGGGGCACAGGGCTGTTTACACAGAGAAACCCTGTCTCGAAAAGCCAGAAAGAAAAAAAAAAAAAGACAATAAGCATGAAAATATAACAAACCTGACTCCAATCAGCCACAAAGTACACTTAACGCTACCACCGGCTCCAGGCCACGCCCATTACCCACTCAACACCTGTGTGTTCAGAGGCAGGCCATACTTACCACCAGACCCCAGCTTCAACCCATCCTTAGTTGCCAAACGGCTGCCCGGTTCTTCATTATCCTTATCAACAAAGATCAGAGTAGCCATCCTGGATTACTCTAGAGGACAGACTTACACATCAGAATAAGGAAGGCATGAAGAGATAAGCACCAACAGAGACCAAGATTGGCTAAGGGTACTTGTGTGCGCGCACACACACACACACACACACACACACACACACACACACACAAATTACAATTAAGCTGGCGAAGCCAACAGGCTTTATCCAGATCTTAACTCTTCACGCCAGGGTCAGAAATACTAAACTCCTAAAGAGAAGGCAGTTGAAGTTGGCACCCATCAAAACTGTGTCCGGGCTGTAATCTCAGCGCTAGGGAGGAGACAGAAGGACCAGATAATCAAGACTGGTCTCGGAGACGTAACAAGTTCGAGACCACAAGCTGTTTGAAACCCTGAAGAGGGAGGCGGGGAAGAAGGAAAATGAAAACAGCGTCGCCGCGGGTCGAGCAAGCCAAGAGTGCCCAGGGACGCGAGGCCGAATGAGGCTCAGGTCGACCCTGCTTCGGCCTCCAGTCTGCCCGCCCCCCACCCAACCTCACCCCAGCTCACCCGCGAAACCCTAACAGCCAGACTCACCCAAGACTGCACCACCAACGATCCCGGACACCGCGGTTTAAAACACAACTCGCGCCTCAATTGGTCCATCCGAGAGGAGGCGGGGCCTAGAGTCTGAGAGCCAATGAGAGCAACCGAAGTTTTCAGCCACCGCTCACCCCGCCACAGACACACACACACCCACTCACATCTGCCTCTCTCTCCCAGGAATTAAAAAACTACGATCTTACATTATCCAAAACTACTGATGGGCTTTTTGTTTTCCACGGTGTGGACCTGCGAGAAGGCACTGGCCCAATAACAAGAACATCTTGAAGCGTCACTTTACTTTAAACATTAAAAAAAAAAAATTATAACAGGGTTTCATGTGACCCAGGCTGTCCATGAACTAGCTATGTGGTGGATGACGGATGATGACTCCTGATCCTGCTTCCGGTCTCCCAAAAGCTGGGATTATTGTATGACCAGTCCTGGCTTACTTTTTATGTTTGTGGCTTGTTTAAGACAGTCTTTTACTGCGCAGCTTAGGTTTGTCTGGAACTCACTAGCCCAGAAATGCTGAAATCAGAGTAGAAAGAGTGGATTCTCTAGGAGACAGGCATACACGTTAGTTACTGGCTAGAAAGGCTAAAAAGCATCAATAGAGACCAAACTTCATCCAGAACACACGTGCACAAAATCTTAGAGTAAACTAGAGAATCCAAGAGGATTTTTCTAGACCTTAAATCTTCAGGCCAAAGTCAGAGGCCCTAAACTACCGAGAAGATGGTTTGGGTCTGCCCACATCAAAACAGTCTCCAAGGCTGGAGAGATGGCTCCAAGGCTGGAGTGATGGCTCAGCAATTAAGAGCACTTGCTGCCCTGGAACTCACTATGTAAACCAGGCTGGTCTTGAACTTACAGAGATCCACCTGCCTGTGTCTCCAAAGTAGTAGTTATTTCTGCTTATTTTTGAGTATTGTGGAAATTCGACGGGTTTGAAGACAAATGGAGGTCACTTGAGAACCCAGGTCTTCTGGTTGAAATAAGCACTGTTAATATCATTGGAACCTTTTCCTACCTACACCCTTTTTTTCTATGTGTGTTTGATGACAGTTAATGGGAGTAAAGATTCCTTAGTCTGTCTAAGCACTCTCTACAATGATGGGTCAGTTCCCATGTCAGTAGTGTTGTATGTATATTCCTGAGAACATTCTAAGGTTTCGTGATAGTAGGATATATGTCCTAGGATTTTCACCCACTCCCCCCTGCTGCTGGATATTTGGATTCTTTCCAAAGTGGCGGTGAAAGCCGTACGGTGCCACAAGAGACTCTGCTGTGTGAGTTCCATAGGACTAAAATAGCAACAATAGCAACAACAACAACAAAAAATAGCACAACGCCTTTAATCGCAGCACTCCAGGAGGCAGACACAGATCCCTATGAGTTCAAGGCCAGCCTGGTCTACAAACCAAGTTCCAGGACAGCTGGGGCTACAAGAGAAACCCCGTCTGGCACAATAACAAAAAGCAAATTTTCAAATCACTAACCAAATCCTGCATCTCACTGAGAGTCTTCCCCTCTCTCCAGACACATAGGGATTCCTTTGTTTTCTCAGAGCCAACAGATTCAGCTGAACCTCAGGGCACTGCATAAACGATGCTGTCTACCTAGACAGCAGCTGTCTGCCTGCTAATGGGACTCTTCAAAATGAAGAAACCTGGCGTAGCAACACAACACCTTTAATCCCACCCTTGGAAAGCTGAGGCAAGTGGATCTCTGTGAGTTCGAGGTCAGCCTGTTTTACACAGCTCCCGTAGCCTGCCAAGACTACATAGCGAGGCCTTGTCTCCAAAAGAAAAAGAAATATTCAAAGAGAAGTGGAGGATACACCTTGTTTTTCTCAAATGTTATAGGCAAAAACTTTGGTGCTGATAAAATTTAAGGAATGTATGTTTATTTTGAAAAGTTTCCCCCAAGTTTTTTTTTGGGGGGGGGCTATTTAACACTGTAAAATACAGGATTGTATTTCACATTTACAGTTAAGAATTTGCACTGGGATCCGTCTTTCTACACCTCCTTAATTCTGTTTCCAAGCAAGGTGATGGTCCTAATGAATATGTACCTTGAGTTCCCTTTAAATTCGTGCAACAAGTATTTACTCTACACCTGTTAAAAGCAGAGCACTATGCCAATCATGAAAAAGAAGAGTCTAACTCGAGGAGGAGGAGAATAAAGACGACACCCCGATCCCACCCCCACCCTTACTGTTCCTTCTCTGCCATGTTCCTTTTCTCCCCTTAATCTAATCTGTTTTCTACTTGTGTCTCCTTCTAAATTTTGCTGCTTCTTATTAAATTGCCAGCACACAAAAGTTTTGCTTTTGAAAAGAAATCTCTATAAATTCCCACAGCTTCCACATGGACACTCTAATTCCTTAAGTTTTCTCCCTTTGTCACTGACAGGAACCATTGCAGCTTTTCCAAGGTCCCACTGCAAGTGTAAATTATATAACCACCCTGTCTTTATTTTTTCTTTTTTTTTTTTTCTTTTTTTTATGGTTTTTCGAGACAGGGTTTCTCTGTGGCTTTGGAGCCTGTCCTGGAACAAGCTCTGTAGACCAGGCTGGTCTCGAACTCACAGAGATCCGCCTGCCTCTGCCTCTGCTGGGATTAAAGGCAATGGGCCACCACGGCCCGGCTCCACCCTGTCTTTAAAAGGCCATCATTGTCTTAATAATGATGTCCCTAGACGAGCTTTGTGATTCCGGTTTATTATTGGGGAACAATGTATCCTATTGGTTGGTAAACTACCCTCATGTAGAATACAGAGTTCTTAGCGAATACATGTTTCTCCTTTTACAAAAAGCACTCATTCAGAGATGACCTCTGCTTTCTTGGTACCTCTAGAATCTTCTTGAAAACTCAAGCCTAAGGAAAAATTCCTTCTTCTTGCCCAGAAAGTTCTATAATTCCTCTGAGGATGCACTCTTTGGCTTTGACTTGCCGAATTAAATCTTCACAATCTATAACTTCGGACCGTTCTCCTGAGGTGGGGATCTTAGCTATATTCATCTATATCTGAAGACAAATTCTTGTGAGGGAGAAGTGTAAATAACCACAAGGCAGCACAAAGAAAAATTTCCAGGGAATGACTCAGTAGTCAAGAGAGCTTGCTGTTCTTGCAAAGGATCCCGGGTTGGGTACTCAGCATCTATATATATGGTGGCTCCCGATATATACACACATACATACGTACACATTTCCAGTTCCGGAGGATCTGATCCCAATGAGGTACAAATTCAGGTAAACTCATACCCCTAAAAGAAACCCAATAATTAAAAAAAAAAGAAGGAAGAAAGAAAGGAAGAAAGAAAGATCCGCTAAAATCTCCTGTTTTCCAGTAGTTTGTTGAATAGTTTCTGTTTTATGGGGGACTATTTAAGTTTGTTTGGGACAGGATCTTATTATGTCACTAGCTTGGAATTCAAAGATCCTCCTGTGTCTCGGGGATTAAAGGCGTGAGCCATTACGCCTACCTTTTTGGTTTTTTCAGTAAATATTTTTTGCTAAAATTCTACTGTTCTACAAGTAGAACAGTGTTCCCTGCGCGGGGCACAAAGCTGCACTGCCACCGTCTTCCTGCAGGGTGCACAACGAACTACTTGCATGAACCGCCTGCTTCCTTAAAAAAAAAAAAAAAAATAGCCCTGGCCAAGCACTTGGGACTGCGCAAGTGCCGTTCTTCCGGAAGTTATCGCTGGTCTGCCGGAAAAAAGGCAGGGAACCCGGAAGTAAACATTACCGGATCGCTTCGTTCGTGGCGGATGGTTTTGGCGTGCTCTGGGCCGGACTGGGTAAGTTAGGGTTCCGAGACTGAGGGGACGAACTGGGGACTGCGAGGGGAGGGCATTCCCTGCAGTGCGTCCTCGCGGTGACGAGCCGCCGTGGGACCGCGGACCCGGGGGGAGACTACCGCCCACGGCGCAGGCGCCACCCTCGCGTCCAGCCGGACCGAGCCCTGTTCACAGTGGGGCGGACATCCTGAGCGGCTTTCACCCAAGCTGACGCCTCTGTCCCCAAAAGAAAGCCTTTGAGCTTCAGTTTTCTCGTGAATGGGGGTGGTCTTATTTGGGGGAGGTGATGCGAGAGTAAAATTAGAATGTCTATTTTACATTCAGTGAGTTTGAGTCGTCACCGTCCCAACCTGTAGGCCCCTCCGCAAAATAGTCTATCTACTGACAGTACTTAGGTCTAGCCTAACCTTGAATGCGGCAGGCGAACACTCCAGTGGCCTGTGGTGTGTAACATGATTTAAAGGACCCACAATAAAGTCAGCCTTGGACTTGAGACCTGTCTCTCTCACTGGTGTGTTGTTGGCTGGCAGTATTAACCTCCGCAGACTTGTTTCCTCACTGTAAAATAGGGTTGCTGTGAAGATTAGGTGACGGTGTGTCTGGTAAATTAAAGAAATGGTAATTGTCAAAACGAAGGTGATTAAATCTATGAGTGTCCACTTTTGCCTCCCAGTATACGTAGACGACCACCGATTTCTAATACTTCTGTTTTTTTTATTTTTAAATTCTATTTTATTTTAATTATGGCTATAAGTAGGTGTGTGGGCATGTGCCCTTGTTAGTACATGCGCAGCGCAGTTTTCTTGGATCCCTTGGAGCTGGAGTTAGAAGACAGTTGTGAGCCCCGTGATGTGGGAGCTGAGAGCTGAACTATGATCCTCTCCAGGAGCAGTAGGTGCCCTTAGCTCCTGAGCCATCTCTCCTGCCCCTTAGACAAACTTCTACAGAGAAGCAGGCACGGGGGTGGCACATGCCTCCAAATCCAGTACTCGGGAGCTAGAGTCAGTAGGCTCAGAAGTTCATCCTGTGCTGTGTAATGAGTTCAGGGACAGCCTAGACTGTGGGATATTCTGTCTCAGAACAAACAAACAAAATTCTATATATATTTTCAGTGGGTCAACACAGAAGAGAACGCTTTGAACAGCACCATTGTCTTCTAGTCATTAAGCATTTAGTATTGGCAAAGAGTTGTGTAAATATCCATGGACCGCAGGAGGAAGGTTAAGAAAGTCTTTGGGAGGTGTGGGGGTGTGAGAATGGGTCAGTCAGCTAGTTGTGAGGCTAGAAGCTGGTGCTAGACCTTGGCTGCTGTACTGGTCCCTACAGTAAGACTGACAGCATCCTTTGTTCACTGTGACGATTGCTAGTTGCCAGTGACTGTTGAGACCGGAAATGTAACTGGTCCAAACGTGTGTAAAACCCATAACAGCTTTTAAAGCTAAGTTGTTTGGTTTTTTTTTTTTTTTTAGGTTATTGGAAGTTGAAATTAGACTGTGTTGGGAATATTTAGTAAAGATATTTTTGCCAGGTGGTGATGCCACACACCTTTAATCCTAGCGGCTTGGGAGGCAGAGGCAGGCAGATCTCTGTGACTTTGAGGCTAGCCCGGTCTACAGAGTGAGTTCTAGGACAGCCGGAGCTACACAGAGGAAACCCTATCTGAAAAAAAAAAAAAGGAAAAAAAATTTTTATAAAAAGGAATATTCCTTTTGTATATATTTGTGTCAGAGTCTTGCTATGGAGACCTGGCTAGCCTTGCAGATACAGCCTCCTGGGTTATGGGCACTTACCACCATTGGCCCTTTTTATTTCTTTAATATTGTTACTCAAAACCAAAGAATTACTTACGTTGTTGGCATTGCTTTTTTCTGGGATTATACTGCTTTGGAGAGATTTTGAGCTTGAGCAATGGAGCATTTGATCAGACTTGTATTTTGAAAAATTAAGCTGTGCAGTTGTAAAAAGATTAATTGGGCAGAATTAGAAGAGACTGGTAAGTCTCAAAAACTCACAACATGTACTAAAGGGGAAACATCCAGCATCTAAGGAGTAGGTAAATAGCAGTGATATTGAGAAAGTAAAAATAATTGTTAATAAGCTGAAATAAATATTTAGTAAGCCGAAATAGAAAAAAGAGCTGTCAATGAAAGGAGCCTGGGCTCCACAGGGAGGGCCAGGAGTTTAAGACATTGCTGTGGATAGGCACCTCTGAGGCTTCTAGGTAGTGATGTCCCAACACAGTTGGTTATGTGGATTTGAAGATCCAATGAAAGTTCTGTAACAGAGAAATAATGTGGACCCCAGTAGTGTGGGATACTGCTCCTCCAGATCCTTGGAAGCTAGTACTGGTTAGGGTGATGAGTGAGGCTCTGACTGCACCATATGGAATCAGTCTCTAGATAAATTTATCAGTCTCTTAGTAAAAATAGATGAGCCTACAAAGGAGTCCGGAACAGAAAAGGAGTACACAAGAAACCAGAGACATGTTGTAGAAGCCAAGGAATTAGAATCTGCAACTAAAGGAAAAAACAGAACTGAAAACTGTCCAGTTGGTATTTAGCGCATTGATTAATATTAATTTAGTTAATGTAGTGGTAGTTTCATTGGCATGGCTGGGAACAGAAGCAAAGTCAGAGTGACTGGGGGTGAGGAGGGCACAGGGTGTGGAAATAAGAGACCCTATGAATACAGGTGTTGTGATGGTGGGGGCTAGGCATTTCTGAATATAGACCGGCCCATCTATATTTTTTTTCTGACAAGGTCTTATGTAGCATAGGTTGGTCTTGAACTCCCTATAAAGCTTCTGATCCTGTATTCACCTCCAGATTGCTGGATCACAGGTGTACACCACCATACCTGGTTCTTGTAGAACTGGGGATCTACCTTCCCTGCATGCTAGGCAAATGCTCTATTCTGAGGCTTCATCCCCAGCCCCTAAACACTAGTAATTGTTAAGACATTGGGCCTTCATTGGCAGCAGTGATGAGCTAGCTCTGTATTTTTTTGACTGTGGTAGAAAAGTTTAAGACACACAGAAGGGCTAATTTAGGAATATCTGTATTAAAGTCTTTGACATTTTAAATTTTGTATAAAATTAGAGCTTTGAAAGAACTGGTGCAGAGAATATGTAAAAACTGTTTTGTTTTGTTTTCAGATACAGGGTCTCACTATATAGCCTTGGGTAGCCATGGTTTCTCTACATAGAACAGGCTAGCCTCCAATTCCCAGGGATCCACAGGCCCCCGCTTTCCAAGTACTAGGATTAAAGTTGTACATTTCAATGCCCATTTTGTAGAGCCTTTTGAGGAAGAGAAAGAGACTCTTAGAACCAGGGAGATGGCCCAGCAGGTAAAGGCACCTGCTGCCAAGCCTCATGACCCTGGCACCCTCAGGGTGATTGAAGATCCAGCTCCTACAAGTTGACCTCTTACCTCTCCATACGTGCCATGGCATTCACAATTCCTGCCCCACTCCTCCACACACATACACACAAGACAAATAAATGTAATTTAAGAATGTAAAGAGCCCCTCCTTTACAGGCACTTTGAAAGAATAAGAGCGTGTAAGACTGGGCACTGCTGTTTGGGCAAGGACCCAGTTTTGATCACACCACCACATAAAGTTTAAAAAGTCAGGGGGAGAAAAAAGTGAAGGAGAGAGAAACCCTGATGAAACTCACAGTGTATATCAGTAGCACACAGTGTAGTGGTCTCGTGACTGCATCCTGAAGGCCTCCTTCCCTCTAAAAAGTTCCTTCCTTTTTAGGGGAAGCCATTTCATCATGTCGGCGGCAGCCATAGATACGGTTAATGCCACACCCCTTTCGGGGTCAAAGGAGATGAGTTTGGAGGAGCCAAAGAAGATGACCAGAGAAGACTGGAGGAAAAAGAAGGAGCTAGAAGAGCAGAGAAAACTGGGCAATGCTCCGGCGGAAGTTGATGAAGAGGGAAAGTAAGTAGCTTCTTACATGATCTGTTCAAGTCCATACCCACTGCACCAGGGCTCAGCCTTTGCCCAGGTCCATACCCACTGCACCAGGGCTCAGCCTTTGCTTGGGCAGGAAACTGCCCTTTACTAGTTACAGAATTTTTATTCCTCTTTCTTGTTTCATTAGACTCATATGTGTATGGCTTAGTAATCAGGTAATATTGAAGAGCTTATAATGCATAGTATTTGTCCTTTTTTACCTTTTTTCACTCCCCAGACTAGAGTAGCTACCTTTACATCTTTTCATTTTGAGTTTTTCACATCTCTAAATAATAATGCCTATGTGATTATTTTAATCAGTTGGCTGGAGACAGTAGTTTGACTTCTAGCTGGAATAGATGGAGCTCTCTAACCCCTTCCTATCATCCCTCTGTCTCCATTCAGGTGTTTCATGAGTTTCTTCAGCATCTTGATTAGACTACTCCTCAATGTAATAACTTAGATCTTTACTTTTAGTTCTTCTGTCAGTGGAGATAGCAACAGTCTTCCCTCTCCCATCCCACTGCAAGATGTCTCTTCTTGGCTTCTGTGCCCACTACCTTCGTGATTAAAATGTTCAAACGTTCTGCTTTACAATCTTACTTAAATTTTATTACAGAGATATCAACCCTCATATCCCTCAGTACATCTCTTCGGTTCCATGGTACATTGATCCATCAAAAAGGCCCACATTAAAGCATCAGAGACCACAGCCAGAGAAACAGAAGCAGTTCAGTTCCTCTGGGGAATGGTACAAGAGAGGTGTAAAGGAGGTATGTGGTGGCCTGTGTGTCCTTTTGTGGGTGGAGAATGTGTGTGAAGAACTTAGGAACCTTTAATGTGACGCTATTTAAAGTGGGGAGGAATTCTGTGCCCCTGGTGTTGAAATTCACAGTGTTTTAAATGCTAGTTACAGTCTTCTTACATGAATTTTATATTATTGAAACCCTTAAACTTAGACCATGAAGACTGCCTGGTTTTCTTCTTAACTTAGTAAAGCCATTCAGTAGACAAGATAGTGAAAGCTAAAGTTATTTCTAAATGCCTCTGATATAAAAGATGTCTATTTTGTTTTTCTCTGTACTTTAATAGAATGCTATAACTACCAAGTACCGCAAAGGGGCATGTGAAAATTGTGGGGCCATGACACACAAGAAGAAAGACTGCTTCGAGGTAGGATCAGCCCCGAGCCTGCTGGGAAACTGTCAGCAAGCCTTCTGTTTTCCCCTTGCCGGAGATCTGTTTTCCTAAAATTAATTTAGAAAAGTAAAATTTAATTTGCATGAAATTAGTCCAGCATCATCAAAGTTTCCTGCCCCAAAACTGCCTAATAATTAAATTTAGAGACTAAAATCCCACAGCATGTTCAAGCCGACTGTAAAAATTTCATGAAATCTCTCTCTGTGCTGCAAGTTCTTAGGAAAAGGTCTGCTGTCTTTCAGAGGCCAAGGCGGGTTGGAGCAAAGTTCACAGGCACTAACATCGCCCCAGATGAGCACATCCAGCCCCAGCTGATGTTTGACTACGATGGGAAGAGGGACCGCTGGAATGGCTACAACCCAGAAGAGCACATGAAAATCGTTGAGGAATATGCCAAAGTTGACCTGGTGAGCCAGTTCACTGCCTTTCTACTTTGCTAGGGAAGATCCAAGACTCTCTAACCTGGCAAGGCTTTCCTGCGTCTCAGGGCACCGTGTTTATAGCAGCATGTCTACTTCAGTGGTGAAGACTGTGTGGTGCCCTGCTTGGCAGCAGTTTCTCTCTCTCTTTCCCGTGGACAGGGTCTCTCTATATGGTTCTAGCTGTCCTGAAACTTACTGTGTATACCAGGTTAGTTTTGTCTCCCAAATGCTGGAATTAAAGACAAATGCCACCACACCTCACCGACGGCAGTTTCCTGAGTCTTTTATTCTTTAGTCCCAGTGTGACCAAAGGTACTAGACGTGTAAGAACAGACTGACATCCAAATCTTCTATTTATTTATTTGTTTGTTTGTTTGTTTGTTTGTTTATTTGTGGCAAAGTCTTACTATGTGACCCTGGTTTGCCTAGATCTTACTATGCAGATCAAGGTAGCCTACAACTCAGAGATCCACCCATCTCTGTCTCCTGATTAAGAATATCCTGTCCCGGGATTGAAGGTGTGCAGCACCACACCTAGCTGCTTTTGACTTTTTGAAGATCTGAGGTCTTTGCCCCTAGACCACAGCGTGTGTCTAACACTGCTTTATGGTGCTCCCACATACCATGGAAGAATAGCTAACCTGTTCAGAAACTGCATTTTAATCTAACTTCAGGTTTTTGAGGGTTTTTTTTTTTTTAAATATTTGATGTGTGTTAGAGAGAATAAAATTTTTTAAAGGTTTATTTATTATGTACAGTGTTCTGTCTGCATATGTGCCTGCACGCCAGAGGAGGGCACCAGATCTCACCATAGGTGGCTGTGAGCCATCATGTGGTGGCTGGGAATTGAACTCAGGACCTCTGGAAGAGCAGTCAATGCTCTCTAGCCCCTGATTTTGTTTTTATTTTTTTATTTTTTTTAATAATTTATTTATTTATTTATTGAAGATTTCTGTCTCTTCCCCACTACTGCCTCCCATTTCCCTCCTCCTCCCCCAAAAAAGTCCCCCTCCCTCGTCAGCCCAAAGATCAATCAGGGTCCCTGTCCTGTGGGAAGTCCAAGGACCACCCACCCTGTTTTTGTTTTTAAACAATGGTTCTACCTTCTTAGCCAAATTCCTTGGAAATAGTAGTCTATTCTGCTTTTTTCTTAAGGAATTACAGATTATATTTAAAATCATGAGTTTTGTTTTTGGGGCCAGCTTCTATCTTGTTTTTATTTTGAAGGGTTATATGTAACCTGGCTGACCTTGAACTCCCTATGACTGTAATTATATAGTCAAGGATGGGGCTGAGCCTCTACCTCCAATATGCTGGGATAGTGAACATGTGCCACCATGCCTGGCAAGAGTATGCAGTTGCCCATAAAGATCTAGATCTCATGTTTTCTGGAACATTGAAATATGTAGTAACCTGAGCCTGCCCAAGAGAAATCAGCTCAGAGCTGGAGTCAGCAGCATCTCGCACCATCTGGCATCTTGCTGCCAGGGCTCACTCTCTGGTTTACCAGTGCTGCCACCTGGTCTGCTTGCATCAGGGCTCACTCACGCAAGGGTCTAACTCCCCACAAGCCCTTCACTTGGTGCTCTAATGTCCATTTCTGAAACCACTAAAATCACTTACTTTAAATGCTGTAAGTAAAATTTAAATGTCTCCATTTTTTTAGGCAAAACGAACTTTGAAAGCTCAGAAACTGCAAGAAGAGTTAGCATCTGGAAAATTAATGGAACAAGCTGTAAGTAAAGACACAAGATATTCAGACAAAACACTCATATTCAGACGCTTGAAAACAGTGGTTCTCAAGACCTATAGGTTATGACCCATGTGGGGGTTGAGTGACCCTTTCTTGGGGCTCACTTAAGACCAGCAGAAAACACAGATATGTATATTAAAATTCACAACAGTAGCCAAATTACAGTTGTAAAGTAGCAACAAAAATAATTTTATGGTTGGGATCACCACAACATGTGGAACTGTATTAAAGAGTCACAGCATTAGGAAGGTTGAGAACCACTGCTTTAAAGCAAAGAAATGAAATGTAGAACAAGAATCCATTTTCTACATCTTTGTTTAGGGAGGAACTGAACTTCTGTCTCCATCCCCTAAGCTCTGGTGTTGCAGGGGTGCACTGCATATGTCAGGCCTTCACTCTTAAAATAGCATTTATTAAGACCTCAGTAACAATACTAGCTACCATATAATATAGTGATATATGAAAAAAATGGAAGACCATCACAGCAGAAGACTCATAATACCAGGTTTCTTTTTTTCTGACTTTACGTGTGTGCTGTGGTGGAGTTTGAACCCAGGTTACAAGCATCCTGTCTTAGGGTTTCTATTGCTGTAAAGAAACACCAAACAGGATTTCTCTGTGACAGCCCTGGCTGTCCTGGAACTCATTCTGTAGACCATGTTGGCCTTGAACCCACAAAAATCTGCCTGTCTCTACCTCCCGAGGGCTGGGACTAAAGGTGTGCATGGCTCATAGCAACTCTTTTTTTATTTTGTTCTGTTTTTTTTTGTTTTGTTTTGTTTTAAGATGTATTTATTATGTATACAGTGTTCTGTCTGCATGTATGTCTGCAGGCCAGAAGAGGACACCAGATCTCATTACAGATGGTTGTGAGCCACCTGTTGTGGTTGCTAGGAATCGAACTCATTACCTCTGGAAGATCCAGTGCTCTAAACCTCTGAGCCATCTTTCCAGCTCCTCATGGCAACTCTTATAAAGAAAACATTTAATTGAGGTGACTTTCTCACAGTTTCAGAGGTTTGGTCCATTATCATGACAGGGAGCATGGCAGCATGCAGACAGACGTGGTATTAGAAAGATAGCGGAGAGTCCTGTATCTTGCAGGCAACAGGGAGTCAACTAAGACACTGGGTAGTATCTCAAGCATAGGAAACCCCAACAAGGCCATACCTGCTCCAACGAAGCCACACCTCCCGATAGTACCACTCCCTATGAGAGATTATGGGCTCTAATTATGTTCAAAATACTACTTCCTGACAACATTTTCTATTTGGACTTGATTTTTTTTTTTAAAAAAAAAACTAGTGAGGTTTGGGGCCAGTAAGAAGGCTCAATGGGAAAAGGAACTTGCCGTGCAAGCTTGGCAACTTGGATTTAAGCCCCGGAACTCATATAAAGGTGGAAGGAGATTACTAACTTTGCGGGCTTGTCTTCTGACCTTGACACTTACACAGTGGACTGTGCTGACCCAATACTACATAAATAAAAAGAAAACTAGTCAGGTTTAATGAACATGATGCAGCTAATGACTAAAACAAGTATAATGGGTATTTGTTGGGTTCTTTGGTCATCTTAAACTTCCTGTTACCTTGTGTGAGTGTAATCCTATAGCAGGAGGCTGGAGAGGTGACTCAGAGGTTAAGAGCACTTGAGTTCAGCTCCCAGCACCCACATCTGGCAGCTTACAACTGCTTTTGACCCCAGCTCCAAGCAAGCCAGTGTTCTTTTCTGACCTCCGAGGGAACGCACACACAAGTGTATGTACACACACAGACACATACATATGAAAGACATCCTGTATCAATAAAATGTGTTTGTTTTCTGGTTTTGTAGACACTAATAAAATTAAGTGTTCACAATAGCACACTTGTGTCAGAATATATGTGCTCAGCACAAGTGAGAAGTCTGAGAGCTTATTGAGTTGAAGTGAAGCAGCCTCCCTTCCATTCTGCCCTCCCTCCTTCTCCCCGGTGCTACAAGGTCTGGTGCACGCTAGGCATGCACTGTCTCACTCACCTATACTACACCCGTTTATATGTTTGGAAAATGCTAAGCCATCGGTAAATTAAGTGGAAGGGACTTACAAATGGTTTTCCTGCTTTCCTGATGCAGAATTCTCCAAAACATCAGTGGGGAGAAGAGGAACCCAATTCTCAGATGGTAAGGCATGCTTGTCTTTTCTGGCTGCATGTTCTGTTTTGTTTCAGTGGCTGTAGTTGTGGTAGTCATATTAGTAGCCCTAAGTCACACAGATAAACCTTTGTTTAAAAGGAAGGAAGACAAGAACTCAGTGCTGTGACTTTCCGCTTAGTTTTCTCACTCCCCACTCTTCCTTTTAGGAAAAGGATCATAACAGTGAAGACGAGGATGAAGACAAATATGCAGATGATATTGACATGCCCGGGCAGAATTTCGACTCTAAGAGACGCATTACTGTTCGGAATCTCAGGATTCGTGAAGATATTGCAAAAGTAAGTCATGTCGGTCTGTAGCTCTGACAGATCGTGTTTCACACCTTCCTCTGCATGTGCAGTGTCTGTGCGGTTTGATTACCATGACTAGCGTCACTCCAAAGGACAGTAGCATGTGCTTTTTACCGTACTGGAATCATCCATGGATGTTGGGTTGCTCAGAACCCACTCCTCTGCCCTGCTGAGCCCTTTATTGTTATAAATAAATGTTAATTCAGTCTTTAAATGTTTTTTCCTTCTAGTATTTGAGAAATTTAGATCCAAATTCTGCCTATTATGATCCAAAAACTAGAGCGATGAGAGAGAATCCCTATGCCAATGCAGGAAAGAATCCAGATGAGTAAGTATCCGGTTAACTTTACGGACTTCGGAGTAAGGGGCGCTAATCTTTCTAATTTGATTTTGTGAATGAGTTTTTCTTAATGGGGAACAATTTCTGAGAACTTTTTAAAATCTGTGCTTACAGAGTGAGTTACGCTGGAGATAACTTTGTTAGATACACTGGAGACACCATTTCAATGGCTCAAACACAGTGTAAGTATTCATTTTTATACCAGGGCATTTTATATGAACTTTAGGGCTGAGAGCCAGCGAGGTGGCTGGGGTGACTGCCATCAGGCAGTTCTGTCCCCAGTGTCTCCACGGTGGATGGAGAGAACCAAGTTATCCTCTTACCCGATATATGTTCTGTGGCATAAGTGATCACACATTTGCACACCCAGATAAATAAAGGTAAAAAATCGAAATTGAGCATTATAAAAACATGCATGATGGCATATGTCTATGACCCTACTGTATAGGAGACTGATACAGGAGGATTGCCACACGTTTGAGGCAACTCTTAAGAAAAAGCCAGCAGAAAGAAAAGATAGGGAGAGTACTGTTAGCTTGCTTTTAAAAAAATGCAGTGAGCTAGCAACTCATTGAGATACTTTGAATTGCCCTAGTGTTTGCTTGGGAAGCCTACGACAAGGGATCTGAAGTACATCTCCAGGCAGATCCTACAAAACTAGAGCTGCTCTATAAGTCCTTCAAGGTCAAAAAGGAAGACTTCAAGGAGCAGCAGAAAGAAAGCATCCTGGAAAAGGTACCGCTAAAAAAACACTTTACTTTTTGCTTAAGAAGCATTCAATTTGTTATGCCGTCCAAAGAGTCCTTTTAACCCATAGGCGTAGTCCTGTTCTTCCGCTGACTTAGCTGGTATAGACTTCTGCAGCAATCATGCCCCTCCCCTCCTCAAGATGTGGTCCTGAAGATAAATGTCTCTTATTTCTCACACTGCTTCATGTCAGCTGGGTCCCCTGACTGCTCAAGACTGCTTCACATAGTCTTGTCTTCCCACAGCCTAGCCCAGCTGTCTAAAATACTTTCTTAGAGTTCTGGGGCACAGCTAAAAAATGTGTGCCCCGGTGCACAGAATACACCTTTGCTTTCGTCACATTGTGAGCTTCCCATTGGTAGAAGAAAGTGACAGTCACATGCAGATTCCAGGGATGGAGAAATTGGCTTCATCTCCTGATGAGAGAACCAGTGAAGTCATGAGGCAAAGGACATCAGACATGCACCTAAAGGAAGGGCTTACGACCATCTTGAAACCGACTTCAATTCCCGGATAAGCCACAGTAGAAACACCTTACTTAAATGGGAAGAATTAGTGGTGCTCTTTTCACTGTTTCATCAGAAAAGCTGTTTTTAAAAGGTTCATTTATTCTCTTTGAAAGTAAACCCTTTTCATAAAGATTTGATATAAAAGCTTAGTTATAAAATGGATTTAATAATGCCCATTGTCCTTTTAGTATGGTGGCCAAGAACACTTAGTTATAAAATGGATTTAATAATGCCCATTGTCCTTTTAGTATGGTGGCCAAGAACACTTGGATGCTCCTCCAGCTGAGCTGCTGCTGGCCCAGACAGAAGACTATGTGGAGTACTCCAGGCATGGAACGGTCATTAAAGGCCAGGAGCGGGCTGTCGCCTGCTCCAAGTATGAGGAAGACGTGAAGATCAATAACCACACGGTCAGTGCTCAGCTCCATACTGTTCCTCACATAATATCATGGCCAACTAATGCTTTTCTTTTTTGTTATTGGTGTTGGCATTTTGGCTTTGTTTTATGAATTTTTTTCTAAAAGTGAGAAAAATGAAAAATATTATTGTAGTCACCTGCATGCTTATGTAAAACCAAAACATTTTTGTCTGTTGTACTATTTATACTAGGTTTGAATGTACAGTAGCTATAGATAAATACACATATTGCTAATTTTTGGCAGAAATATTTAGAAATTGCAGGTAGACTATTTCACTCATAAACACTCTATCATACATCTCTAAAAATGACAATTTTAGACAGTGCTGCTACCCTGTTGTGCCTCAGACTGACATTAACTCCCTAATTCATTTGGCTTTACCCAGAGGGTGTGTGTGTGTGTTTGTGCACGTGTTCAAAGCCTAAGTTAGTGGAGTTGGTTGGCTCCTTTCACTTTTATGTGACTTCCAGGGATCCACTCAAGCCCATCAGCCTCTGAGTCATCTCACCTGCCCCTTTCTTACTCTGAAAATCTATATACATATGTATTTTGGTCAAGCTCGATTAAGTCTGTATTGATTATTTGTTGGAGATTTTCTACCCTCACGTACACACATCCCCAACCTCCAAGAGACAGGGTTTCTCTTTGTAGCCCTGGCTGCCCTGGAACTTGTTCTGTAGACCAGGCTGGCCTTGAACTCAGATCTGCCTGCCTCTGAGTGTTGGGATTAAAGGTGTGCATCACCATGCCTGGCCCTTTACATTTCTTAAAACAAGAATGTCAGTTTAAAGTCTAGTTTAAATAATACCTAACTGTATTGACAAGAATGTGTCGTAGGTGATGTTGTTTTATTGTTTTGTTTTGTTTTTTTAAACTTTATTTAACTTTATTTCATGTGCATTGGTATAACGATGTCAGATTCTCTAGAACTGGAGTTACAGACAGCTGCGAGCTGCTATGTGGGTGCTGGGAATTGAACCCGGGTCCTCTGGAAGAGCAGTCAGTGCTCTTAACCACTGAGCCATCTCGCCAGCCCCCCCTTTTTTTTTAAATATTTATTATGTATACAATATTCTGTCTGTGTGTATGCCTGCAGGCCAGAAGAGGGCACCAGACCCCATTACAGATGGTTGTGAGCCACATATGGTTGCTGGGAATTGAACTCAGGACCTTTGGAAGAGCAGGCAATGCTCTTAACCTCTGAGCCATCTCTCCAACCCTTGTTTTATTGTTCATTATATTATAAAGCATGTTTATGTATTTCCTCATGCTGGGGATTGAACTCAGGTTTCATACATGCTGAGCCGTGTTCTCCCACTGAGCTACAGCCTCAACCCCATTTGTTGTAAATCTAAACTAGCCAAACTGATTTTTATACATCAAGGCTCAGAAATCTAACAGTATCTGTACTTTATAGAGCAGAATGAGCCAGACAGGCCTTACAAACTCAGCAGAATGAGTCTAACAAGGGTGTGTGCACTCTTCAGCAAGATCCACTAACTAACAGTAAGAATGTAGGCTTAGGATGCCCCACACCTTGTCTTATGAGAAATCAAGTGTACTAAATTTTTTCATAGTTTTTTTTGGGTGGGCGGGGGAGTGGAGGCGCTGAGACATAGTCTTACCATGTAGCCCCAGACTGGCTTTTACTTGAATATTCCTGCCTCTGCCTTCTCAGTGCAGAATGGGAAAGTTTCTTATTTCTTTCCCGGTCTACTTTATCTAGGTTTTTCAAAACAGAGTTTCTCTGTGTAGCTCTGGCTATATGGGAAAGTTTCTTATTTCTTTCCCGGTCTACTTTATCTAGGTTTTTCAAAACAGAGTTTCTCTGTGTAGCTCTGGCTGTCCTGGAACTCATTCTTTAGACCAGGCTGGCCTTGAACTCGCATATATCCATCTGCCTGCCTCCTGAGTGCTGGGATGAAAGGCATGTGCCACCACTGCCCAGGGAAAGACCCTAATTTCAAGCTGCTTTTCAAATACCCTCTGTGTCTCTTTCTGCAGCACATCTGGGGATCTTACTGGAAGGACGGCCGGTGGGGATACAAATGTTGTCACTCGTTTTTCAAGTACTCCTATTGCACCGGAGAAGCGGGGAAGGAGAGTGTTGTAAGTAACTATCCTCTGATTTGTTTTCCTTTGTGTGGAGGAGAATGCTAAGTGGGTGAGTTGGGGTTTCATGTAGGCTTAGCTAACTGTGAATCCACTCTGGCCAAGGGTGACCTTGAACTTGTGATTGGACTGCCCCCACTTCCCAGATGCTGAGGTTACAGCTAGTCTCAGTCCTGGCTCTAGGAGGCTCTGGAGGTAGAGCCAGGGCTTTGCAGGCTATGCAAGGACTCCGGCAACCAAGCTACATTTCAGCCCTTGTCCTCTAGTTCTTAAAGGTGGAAGACAGCCAAACCCTGCAGAAAACATATCTTCTTGTGTATCAAATTCTAACTGTTCTTCAGCTGATGTGTAACTGTAGTCTTCAGCTCAAATTCTATTTCTTCCCCCACAGAATTCAGAGGAATGTATTATAAGTGACACAGCTGGAGAAGAACCTGCAAAGAAACCACAGACCCTCATGGAGGTCGGTCTGGAATGCTCTGTTCGGGACTGTTATATCATGGGGGGCAGGGGGTGGGGTGTTAAAACTTGTGCCAGAGCTCTGTGTTCATATGGTGTTTCTATTCTCCCTGTCAGCTGCATCAGGAAAAACTAAAAGAGGAGAAGAAGAAGAAAAAGAAGAAGAAGAAACACCGAAAGAGCAGCTCCGACAGCGACGACGAGGACAGGAAGCACGAGAAACTGAAAAAGGTACTTTTTGTGGTGTCTAAGAAGCGAAAGTGACAAATAGCAAGAGCCACCATCTGTGGGTCTGTGACAGTATCATCCTGCCTGCAGTGGCAGGTGTGTGCGTGTCCCCATGCACCTCTGCAGGGGTCAGACAACTAGCAGGAGCTGGTCCCCTCCTTCCTTTGTTGGATTCTGTGGATTGAGCTCACGTAATCAGGCTTAGCAGCAACGGCCTTTGCCCATAGCCAGCCCCTCAACCAGATTCCTCTAACTGATTAAAAACTGTCATCCCACATTTTGTGCTCTATGAAAGTTATCAAGTGAGCCGAATAGTAGCTAGTTGTAGTTTCACAGTAAAAAGAGCTAACTGACTACTGTGTTCTTTCAGACAGTGTGGGGTTGGTATTCAGACAATGTGGGATTGGTATCCAGATGGTGTGGGGTTGGTATTCAGACGGTGTGGAGTTGGTATTCAGACAGTGTGGGGTTTGTATTCAGACAGTGTGGAGTTGGTATTCAGACGGTGTTTGGTTGGTATTCAGTCGGTGTATGGTTGGTATTCAGACGGTGTACGGTTGGTATTCAGACAGTGTGGGGTTGATAGAGCCCTTCATAGTCCAAGAGGTCTTCCATGTTCTTTTTAATAAAAGCCGTGGCATAGAGATTTGAGAGCTTGTTTTCACCTCTCACCACAGGCACTGAATGCAGAGGAGGCCCGCCTTCTTCATGTCAAGGAGATCATGCAGATTGATGAGCGGAAGCGGCCATACAACAGCATATATGAAACCCGGGAGCCCACTGAAGAGGAAATGGAGGCCTACAGAATGAAACGGCAGAGGCCAGACGACCCCATGGCCTCTTTCCTGGGACAGTAGTAACTAGTCAGGATGGGATACATACACAGCATGTTCATTCCGGCTCCTTCCTGACTCTTGATAGAAAGTCCTTGTCCTTTCTTTCTGCTGTCTGACATTAATAAAGCTTTCCAAAGTCTCAGAATTGTTCTCCACAGTCAAGAAACAAAGTGAGTAAGAAAGATCATACATTTGTGGGTTGGGATTAAACATCATCCATTCTAATTAGATTAGGGAAGAGACTTTGGCTGTCTTCCTCGCAAGAGTGTCCTTCAGAGCCTGGCACAGTGGCTCAAGCCTGTGATGCCAGCACCTGAGAGTGGAGTCAGGGAGCAAGAGTTCAAGGTCAGCCGAGTGTGGTGGTACACACCTGTAATCCTAGCAGAGATTGTGCCAGAGCCACCCTCAGCTACAGTGCAAGCTTGAGACCAGCCTACGCCATGTGAGACTTTGTCTCAATGAATAAGAGTTTGAAGCTGTGCTAGGCTACAAAGCAAGATGGCCTCAAATTTAAGAAAAAATAGAAGTCACCTGTCCCATAGTTAGGTCTCAAGCTGTGTACAGTCTCTGGTCTTCTATACAGCAGCACCATGGTGGAGGCAGGGCCTCACCCTACAGCCAGAGCTCCTCAGTTCCTAACCTCAAGGAGTGACATCACTAGTAATTTATCTCAATAATTGCAGTTTTTTATAGAATTCTATTCATTTTAATGCCTTTTAGGATTTTCTTGGTTTCAAACAACAACAAATATTCTGCCTTCGTCTGCATCACCAGAAGGAAATCTATAAGGCATGTAAATATCTGTGTTCCCCATAATCTGAATAATAAATCTATTTTTCACTTGGTTGTTAAATTTTGGGTTTCCGTGCGTTTCCTTGTACCTTACATCTAAAATGCTTAGCTTTGGAATGGTCAGCATCGACTACTTCACACCCACCTCACTGAACATGGATTTTTTTAGACATAAAATACCCTTCTTTTATGATAGAAGACATCATCTAATTCTGGTCCTCGTAATAGTTACAAAATATCTTAGACATCTATTAGAGTCTACATGCCCATCAGGCGTCACTTGATGTAATTTGAAGAGCAGAAAAACTGAGCTGAAGTTTCTTAAGGACGTCTTAAGGTTAGCGTCCTGGCATCTTTATAGCTGATACAGCTGTGATCCTCAGCCTTCTTCACCTAAACTCATGGTAGAGACAATGCTGACGCCTTACGATTGTGAGAACACGATCTGACTACACTGACTCACTTCTAGGATACTGTGTCAAGTCAGCATCTCAGACATGGCAGAGGAAAGACAGCTGAACCAAGTTCCCAAATACCTGGCTACACATGACGTCAGTATTCAGACGGAGACTAAACTACAGTGCAGGCTTGGGAAATTGACTCGGTCAGAGAAGAGCTTGCAAGCCAGGGGATGTGAGTTCGAACTCCAGGGCTCACATAAAAGAGTGAAAGAAAACAGGCCGGCCACACAGGGGTGCTCCTTGTAATATCCGCCCCGGAGAGGCAGACAGACAGATGGCCAGACAGCCCAGCCAAGTCTGCAAGTACCAGGCTAGTGAGCAGCACCCGAGGAACTGGCTGTTCTCTGAGCTCTACACACATGCCATGCTCATGTACCCACACAAGTACACGACACTATATTGCAAATAGATCTCAAGGCCAAAATTGTTCTATCCCTACCTCAACATAGGTATTTTACCACGAAGTGGGTCGTTGGTGTCTTTTTGTGTACTATCTTTTGTTATTAAAGATTTCATTGAAATATTTAACTGAGTTGTTTGTAGCTTCATTTGTCTGTTTGGTAAAGAAATGGATTAGAGCTGGAGAGATGGCTCAGTGGTTTAAGAGCACTGTCTGCTCTTCCAGAGGTTCTGAGTTCAATTCCCAGCAACCACATGGTGGCTCCAAACCATCTGTAATGAGATCTGGCGCCCTCCTCTGGTGTGTGGGTATTAATGGAGGCAGAAAGTTGTATACATAACAAATAAATAAATCTTTGACCAGGCGATGGTGGCGCATGCCTTTAATCCCAGCACTCGGGAGGCAGAGGCAGGCTGATCTCTGTGAGTTCGAGACCAGCCTGGTCTACAGAGCTAGTTCCAGGACAGACTCCAAAGCCACAGAGAAACCCTGTCTCAAAAAACCAAAAAAAAAAAGAAAAAAGAAAAAAAAAGAAATGGATTAGAGGAGTGTTGAGCAACCTGGGTTGATTTGTTTTGAGTTTGTACAAGAAAATGCCAACATCCTTTATCAAACTCTGAGGCTAATTTATTCTGATTTTAGAAAGAATTCTATTACCCCAAATCATACTACTGTTAAATTAGGGCGGGGGTGATGCATAGAACAGTACTTAGATTTATGTGGACGTGATCTTTGATTTTTTTTTCTTCTAGACGGGTTTTGTGTAGCCCAGGCTAACCTCACAATATGTAGCTGAAGACAAACATCCTACCTCCACCTCCTAAGTTGCCGGGGTTACCTATGTGCAACCACTGTGCCCTGTGTTGTAAGCTTTCAGTTTCATTCTCTCAGACACAGTCACCTTTGCTAGTGTTGGAACTCTTGGCTGTAGCTTTTGTGTTGTCCCTAATGCGACTCACAAGGTGCAAGTTACTCGTATTTTACAGTCAGCTCATGTGCTTAGCTCCAAACAGCGTGCTTGGTTCCCAGCAGTACAGCATGGCTACCAACAGATGTATCAGATTCAAATGTCGGTTCCTTCCGTTATTCAGTCCTCGGTTTCCGGCTTACATGGCTGCTGGTCTTTTGCAATTTCTTTGATAGGTTTTCTAGTATCAATACCTGACCTTTTAATACAATCTGTAATATGAATTCATGGCACTCCCCTAGGTTGGGCACAATGGAAGAACACTTGCTGGACTCTCACATTCAGGTTCTAGGACCAGGTAAAAAGCTAGCCATGACCTGTAGATATCCCACTGACATCTTCCTCTGGCCTCCGTGTACAATTAGGCATATATATACACCATTCATGAGTATGTGCACGCACACACACACACAGACAAGTTACAGGACATTTCTTGATGCATACAGAATATGTAGTGACAGACTAGCCTGTAATGTGGCTTCGTTTAAATTCAGGGCTGTATTTTACTCCAATTCCATGGTGTTTCTGGCACATTCACTGAGAACTTTTGTATACCGTGTCAAAAGAATGCGAACGGGGTGATGGCCATGTTCATCACTGGTTCACCTGTACAGTGGTGAGGTTGATGGCACTCAGCGCCATGGTGTGTGTTGTGCAACAACATATTTTCAATGCTGACCTCTCGCCATCAAAACTGTCAGACCGTTTCAAAAGATGCCATGGTAGCATTGCATGGCATAACCTCAGTAGCCCAAAGCCTATACCAGCACCATCTGGTCAGTTGAAAACACTTGGATCACATAAGAGCGTCTTGCTGTGGGCGTCACATCAATCTGCCTATCTGTGTGCCCAGGAGAAACCCAGGTGCTCACACCGTAGCTGGTTAATTAGTCAAACCTTGTGCGCTCGGAAGAGCACAAATCGTTCTGGGCCCGGATGCCCAGAAGCATCTTGAGCAACTGCCCTTTTGTTCAATGACAGGATCCATTCTAGAACTGATTAAATGAGGCAGGACTTCTTACAGCAAGTTCTAGGAGGGCTCAGAGCTAGTCCTCTGAAGGTGGGCATTCAGCTTGACGAGGCAGCTGACAGGGATGACTGCAGCCAGCTGATGGCGTTCCTGTGATGTGTAAAAGGGGGAGAAACCGCAGGAGTTCCTGTTCTGTGACATTTGCGATTACCCATGAAAGGGGTCAATATGTTCCTTCTCCTCAGAGATTTCTCTCTGGAGCACAACCTGGCACTTGACATGTGAGGCTCCAAGTGTACTGATGGTGCCTCCTCTTTCCTAGGAGAAAATTCGGAATTGGTTGCCCATGTGAAAAAGAGATGCCTCATGTCGGGGTCATTGTTGAATCCTCATGCACTTGTCACCAAGACACTGCCTACAAAAACTAGGGGATGCTCTGTTTGGAAGCCCCTCCAGTCACATCGGTGGCGAGGCCCCTCCCCCAGCACCTCCAGCTCCCAGGTTCCACCCACAGAACACTCTTTTTGTTGTTGTTGTTGTCTTATTTTTTTAATTTATTTATTTATTAAAGATTTCTGCCTTCTCCCCGCCACTGCCTCCCATTTCCCTCCCCCTCCCCCGATCAAGTCTCCCTCCCTCATCAGCCCAAAGAGCAATCAGGGTTCCCTGACCTGTGGGAAGTCCTAGGACCACCCACCTCCATCCAGGTCTAGTAAGGTGAGCATCCAAACTGCCTAGGCTCCCACAAAGCCAGTACGTGCAATAGGATCAAAAACCCATTGCCATTGTTCTTGAGTTCTCAGTAGTCCTCATTGTCCACTATGTTCAGCAAGTCTGGTTTTATCCCATGCTTTTTCAGACCCAGGCCAGCTGGCCTTGGTGAGTTCCCGATAGAACATCCCCATTGTCTCAGTGTGTGGGTGCACCCCTCGCTGTCCTGAGTTCCTTGCTCGTGCTCTCTCTCCTTCTGCTCCTGATTTGGACCTTGAGATTTCAGTCCCGCGCTCCAATGTGGGTTTCTGTCTCTGTCTCCTTTCATCGCCTGATGAAGGTTAATATTCAGGAGGATGCCAAAGAACTGAGCAGAAGGCCGGGCTTATGTAGAGCATCTTGCGGGGAGGGGGTTGGAACTTTTCAGGGTGCAGCTTTCCAGGGTAGAGATTGGTGGGGTTTCAAATCCAGAGGTTGGGCTTTTTTACTCTGTAGGATGGGGGCAGTTAAAGAGTAATGTTGTATACATAATAAATAAATAAATCTTATAAAAAATAATTGAATACTTAGAAAGAAAAACAAGTAGCTGGAGAGATGGCTCAGCTCTTAAGAGCATTTGCTGCTCTTGCACAGGGCCTGGTTCTGTCCCCAGCACCAACACTGGGTAGCTCAGACCACCTGTAAGTGCAATTACAGAAGATCAGATGCCCTCTTCTGGACTTCCTGAGCACCTACACACACGTGCTGCATGTACAGACAAGCAGACACACATACGCACATGCATGCGCGCACACACATAAAATAAAAATAAATAAGGGTGTTGAAGATATGGCCCAGTTGTTAAGACTATGTATTACTTTTTTGTTTTGTTTTTGTTTTTGTTTTTGTTTTTCGAGCCAGGGTTTTTCTGTAGCTTTGGAGCTTGTCCTGGAACTAGACCAGGCTGGCTTCGAACTCACAGAGATCTGCCTGCTTCTGCCTCCTGAGTGCTGGGATTAGAGGTGTGCGCCACCACCGCCCACCTAGAATATGTACTGCTCTTACACAGGACCTGAGTTCAGTTCCCAGCACCCGCATCAGGTGGCTTACAACTGCCTATAACTCTGACTTCAGGGGTAGCCAATGCCTCTGACTCCCAAAGGTACCTGGACTCAACACATGTACTTGTACATACACATAACTGAAAATACATATTATTTTAAAAAAATAAATAAACACCAGAACAATGAATATGGTATGATAGGCTAGAAACTGAGCCAAGAAGAAAGAGAGGCTCTCCCACAATTAAGAACAAACTGGCAGCGACCCCTCCCTTCTCCATGAGGGTTGTTATTGGGAGGCTAATCAACTTCCCAGTAACATTACAGATTATGAGGTAATGCCGTAGAAGGCGAAATGCCTTATGTAACACTTGCTTCTAAGTGCACTCTTTGGAGTTAGTCTCGGTGTCTCTTCCCTTGTCTCCCATGCTGTACGCACTATAATACTGACAAATACCCTGACATATTAGTCAGTCTGTGCCCTTTGATTACTTCCGCGCTCCAAGTCAGCA